TTGGTGCCAACACCGTGAAGTTGAGCTTGTCGAAGACGTCTTTTGGCATGACGCTGACGCTGGCTCCAAGGTCGCACAAGGCCTGGTGAATTGTTGTGCCCCGATTGACCAGGTGATCGTGGGACACCCCGGATCTTTCTTCTTCTCCGGGAGCTTGTGGAGTATCAGGTTGCTGCAATGTTCCGTCAGCTTGACCACCTCCATTGTTGGGAGCGGTTTCTTGTTTTTGAGTATGTCCTTAAGATAACAGGAGTATGTTGGTACTTGCATAGCGTCCAACAACGGCACGTTCATGTGAATTTTCTGGATCACTTCAACAAAGCGAGCGAACTGCTCGTCCACTGACGGTTTCCTACTCCGCTGAGGGAATGGCAACAACCGTGTGTCGCAGTACCCCCCGTGGCACGGTCTTCTCTGGCTAAGTCTCCTTGTCAGCCGAATCAGTAGATGGCGTTTCCTTGGGCATCCCATTAGTTCCTGTAGGGTTAGGATACGGCGGATCACGAGTGGAATTACCTCCCCTCGTCGTGATCGCCTTAAAATTTTCAATGGAGGAGTCGGGTTGCCCCGGAATCCTCCCAGATTCATTTGCAGGGACTAAAGATGCCAACGGAGCTAACTGGGTTTCTATCATTTTATTAAAGCTCAGCTGGTTTTGAAATGCGGAAGCGAAGCCATCTAGCTTGACATGACATTTATGTTCTCTAAGATCTTATCATTGGCAGCAAGCTTTTTTGCTTAGCGCATCAGTGGTTTTAGCTTGCGCAAAAACAAGATCCTTCAAGGAGGGTTGGTTAGAGAAATTACCGTTATTATTACCTCATTGATAATATGGGCGTGGTTGGTTCCACCCCTGACCTCCTTGTGGACGATACCCGTTGTTGTTGTTGCCCATGTACATTGCCTCCTCACGGGTTTCCGGGCGGTCGTTCCCAGAATGACCCGTGCCGCCGCAGACTTCACACGTGATGTGTGAGTCCAAGGCCTTGACGGTGCCTTGTGGCCGTTTCTCATGGTCGTCCAAGCGTTTCATGAGGAGGTCCAGCTTGGCAGCAAGTAACTCCGTCTCCTTGACGGTGTGCATGCCTCGCTGACGGGTCTGGAGTCATTCCTCGCTTCAACCCATATTGGAGACCATCTTCTCTATGAGTTCAATGGCTCCTTGAACTGTTATAGAGAAGAAGGCTCCTCCAGCTGCCGCGTCTAGGTGATCGCGGGACATCGGGGTGAGCCCGTTGTAAAAGTTCTGCAGGATCAGCCAGTCGTCCATCCCATGATGAGGACAGGAGGCCACGTACTCCTACAGTCGTTCCCATGCTTCCGGAATGGACTCGTCCCTTGTCTGCTGGAAACTGGAAATTCGTCCACGAAGGGCATTGGTTTTGCCCATCAGGAAGAACTTCGAGAGGAATGCCGTAGAGCATTTAACCCAGGTGTTGATAGCAGCACGGTTGGCATAGAACCACTGCTTCGCTCTCCCGAGGAGAGAGAACGTTAACAGCAGCAGCCTGACGGCGTCGGGACTGATGCCCTTGATGGTGTACGTACTGCATATCTTCAGGAATTGCTGCAGATGAGCGTTGGCATCCTCATTAGGCTTGCCACAGAACGGGCTAGCCTGCGCCATCATGATGAGGCTAGACTTCAAATCGAAATCCACATCTCCTATGTTAACTTGCGGCCCGACGGCCACATTATCAACAGAGGGAGCAGCGAACTCGCGAAAAGTCTTGCTGACTATAATCTTGAAGGTTGGTGGCGCTGGTACGGCTGGTTTCTCTGTCGGTAAAGTTTTCTGCGGAGCAGCGACCCGCGGCCTGACGCTCCGGAAGAAAGCTTCTAGATTTTCTTTGAAGTTTTCCGGCAGGTTGAAACCAGTCATGCACTACCTTGTTTTCACAATAAAAACTGAAAATAACCAAGGTTAGCCTGCAAAGGAAAATGATTATACAGAGGTAAATATAATGCGTTAGTTTAAGTAATCTCTATCATAAATCTTCCCAGGCAACGGCGCCAGAAATGCTTGTTGGTATTTCTTAACGACATTAGTAGAAATATAATTCCCAGCAATGGCGCAGAAATACTTCTGGTATATTATGGTTACAGAGTTCATCCGCAAGCGCACGGATATACCATTGTAGCATTTCACTCGAGAGTATTCCAAGGGTATCGTATTTATTTTATCCCGTGGGAAGATCTTGTAGAGAGAACTCAACTAATAATTTATATATTACTTGTGATAATCATATTCTAAGCAGGAGTTAAGATAATCCAAGGATAGAGTGACACACAAGCATTAACTATTCATCCTCATAATAAATAATCTAAGCTAGGTGGAAAGAAAAAAGAAAGAGAATCTATTCCTATACTTCTAATATACATAGTATACATACATTCTAGTTAACTGGTATACTAGCTAATACCCTCTATCCGATACCCTCCTGGTACATCGAGAAGCCACCCTTAACTGCCGAGTTCCTTACGATAACCCATCATGACCATCCAACCGGGGCTAAATACGGAGGAATACCCTCCCCAGGAAATTAACTTAGGATTATATATAGGCGCCGAGAAATACCCGTACCGAGCTGTCACCATCAACGGCCCACCTCTCATCCGCAATATATAACCCCAAATAATGATATCCCATAATCTAGACACCACGTCTAAACTACCAGATACTACTCTAATATCATCGTCATGACATAGACTAATTGCATAAGCAAACACTATACCCGCACCAAAGCATCTCCCAAATAAGCTAGCCGTATATTCAGTATAACCAGAACATAATGTAAAGTAGGTACTCATATACTCGGAAAGTATTTCAATACCATAAATGTATTTAGAAGCGTATTCGAATAAAATTACAAAGCTTACAAAAGAGGAAAGGAAAGCTACTAAAGCCATACCCGAACTCTTCCGAAGACTTCCGGACTCCTGATTCCTATTCTAATTCTATTCCACCAGCTAGATACTACTAAACTAAACTTGAGAGGAATGAGAGAGCTCTTACTTGAGGTGTGTGAGTGAAGTGAGAAGGTGAGGGGTTTATATAGCCTCCCAATGACTGTTGTGACGGTTAGAATGGTCGGAAATACCCTCCAACCGTCATTGGGAGCTAATCCACACCGTCCAGAAGAAACCCTGCTTCCAGCAGCGATGAGGGGGGTTCGGCCGAACCTGGTGGTTCGGCTGAACCTGGGGCTGGCCCAACCAGCCCATGGTTTGGCTGGTGGCCTCCTCTGTCGTTCTTCTCTGCAGACTTGTGAATTTTGGCCCAGTTTGTCGTGTCAATTCTGAGTTCTTGGCCCATTCATACACAAGTCTGGTTCTCGACATCGTCCGATTGATTTATCGTGGGTGTTGATGTCGATTCTCCTTCACTTTATGATTATTCTCTGCAAAAGGTTAGTAGACCTAATACTAGTGGAATATTATTACTCTAACATATTTATGCATTGCAAGCATCATTAGTTCTCTCCTGTTTTAGTGATATTGATGGTCGAAACTGATCGATATCGACCGTCAACAGGGCGCGCGCGAAGCGATGCAGGTCGAGCACGCCTAGTCCTCCCAGTTCTTTCGGGCAGCAGACCCGATCCCAATTCACTTTACATTTACCTCCGGACAAGTTGTCGCCACCGGCCCGAAGGAATTTCCTCCTGATTTTGTCGAGCGCTTCCAAAGTTCCTTTAGGAAGTCTAATTGAGGTGAGGTGGTAGATGGGTTGTGAGGTTAGGACTGTCTTAACAAGGGTGGATCTGCCAGCTTGGTTTAGGAGCTTCCCTTGCCAGTGAGGAAGCCTTGCCCCCGCCTTGTCCACAAAGGGCTGGAAGTGGACTTTACGTAGCTTGGAGAGCGCCAATGGAAGGCCTAAATATGTCATTGGGAAGGCAGCTTTCTTTGCCAGAAGATGTAGAAGGATGTCGTCAAGGTCAATGTCGTTGCAACGTATGGGGGCAACTTGACTTTTGTGGAAGTTTATTTTTAGGCCCGTGGCCTCACCAAAGGACTCAAGAATGTGTGCCAGCGCTGAGACGTCTTGTTGTGTCGGGGAGAGGAAGATGGCAGCGTCGTCCGCGTACAACGAGGTTCTCATTCTCGGCGGTCGTCCATTGAGGCGTAACGAGGTTCTCATTCTTGGCGGTCGTCCATTGAGGCGTGTGAGGTGCCCATCCTCAGTCGCTCTCTCCAGGATGTGTAGCGGGTCGATTGCTAATATGAACAAGAACGGCGTTCTGTAATAATTGGCTATTTGAGTAAAGACCGGGCTGTTTCATTACACTATTAAAAAAAAAGAAACAGTAGATCGAAAGTGGAAGTTCCTAGCTAGTAAGTCTTCTTAGTTTTTTTTTAAAAAAACTGAAACCTATCGAAACGGAGTTCTTTTCCAAAATTTCATCATCAAACTGAAAGATGTTCTACAATTTCACATGCAGATATCAAACGGAAATTTTTTCCATAATTTCGATGTTCTATATAATTTCACACGCAAATACCAAAACAGAGACTTTATAGCTCGAGTGCTGACTGCTGAGCCTTCATGATGAAAAGTTAATTTCCAGAACTTAGATTGCTGAGCCATATCGAACCAGAAACTTAATTTCCAGAACTTCATGATGAAAAGTTTAAAACTGTTCTTTTCCAAGCTATAATCAAGATTTTCGTAAATATAGGTTATCTTTTCTAAGTTCACATGTCACACGCGTTTGACAGTGTCGTGTTATTCTTCACCAAAATCTACCATACAAAATCTCTGTACATGTAAAAGTAAAACATAGTATGATGTGCAGAGCATAAATAATATCACATCACTCTTTTTCAACTTTTTTTTAAAAAAAATCCAGATCAATTAATTCATCTAAGATAGAAGTCAAACACATACGGAGTATAATCTAGGACCATATTGCATATACTTAACTAACAATTTGTACATGTTACATCTACTAATCTCCATTCCATGTTTGACTTCCAATCGAACAGCTAAGCTTATTATGCCATATTATTTCATTTAGCCCCTTGGAATTCCTCCATTTTACAAATACATCCCTCACCAATCTCATTTCTATACATATCATCATCGTTTCCTCCAAACTCAGAAGCCCAAAACACACGAAGCAAAGCTGCCTCGTCTGTGTCACTGACAGATGGGGTCCATGGAGCAGCAGCAGCCGGAGTCGGCGGCGCCGGCGACGGAGGCGTCGCCGGAGATCATCTTCCGGTCGAAGCTGCAAGACATCGCCATCACCAACACCCTCCCGCTCCACCGCTACTGCTTCGAGCGGCTCCCGGAGGTGGCGGCGCGCCCATGCCTCATCGACGGAGCCACCGGCGGCGTGCTCACCTACGCCGACGTCGACCGCCTGTCCCGCCGCCTCGCCGCCGCGCTCCGCCGCGCGCCGCTGGGGCTCCGGCGGGGCGGCGTCGTGATGAGCCTGCTGCGGAACTCGCCGGAGTTCGTGCTGTCCTTCTTCGCCGCGTCGCGCGTCGGCGCCGCGGTGACCACGGCGAACCCAATGTCCACCCCGCACGAGATCGAGAGCCAGCTCGCCGCCGCCGGCGCCACCGTCGTCATCACCGAGTCCATGGCCGCCGACAAGCTCCCCTCCCACTCCCACGGCGCCCTCACCGTCGTCCTCATCGACGAGCGCCGCGACGGCTGCCTCCACTTCTGGGACGACCTCATGTCGGAGGACGAAGCGTCGCCGCTCGCCGGCGACGAGGACGACGAGAAGGTGTTCGACCCGGACGACGTGGTGGCGCTGCCGTACTCGTCGGGGACGACGGGTCTCCCCAAGGGGGTGATGCTAACGCACCGGAGCCTGAGCACGAGCGTGGCGCAGCAGGTCGACGGCGAGAACCCAAACATCGGGCTCCACGCCGGCGACGTGATCCTGTGCGCGCTGCCCATGTTCCACATCTACTCGCTCAACACCATCATGATGTGCGGCCTCCGCGTCGGCGCCGCCATCGTCGTCATGCGCCGCTTCGACCTCGCCGCCATGATGGACCTCGTCGAGCGCCACCGCGTCACCATCGCGCCGCTCGTGCCGCCCATCGTCGTGGCCGTGGCCAAGAGCGAGGCGGCGGCGGCGCGAGACCTCTCGTCGGTGCGGATGGTGCTCTCCGGCGCGGCGCCCATGGGCAAGGACATCGAGGACGCGTTCATGGCCAAGCTCCCCGGCGCCGTGCTCGGACAGGTACAATACAAGAAAAATATTTTCCTTTTTTTGGTTGAATTGGTTGTCATTTTTTGTGCGCCGTTGGATCATCCGATGGGCGGCTCGGATTCCATGTTGACTTTGGCGTCTGACGGTCAACGTGTAATCTGAGCCCTCCATTTGGCTGGTGTACAGATCCAATGGCGGGAAATCTTAACGTGTGAAGGACTCAAGAAGCCCTTCTTTTCACGTTTTTATTTAGGTTTTGATACAATATATACGCAATAGGTGTTGTTTTTTAAAAAAAATAAACAAAATGGACATTACATTATTGGCTGTGTTTAGATCCAAAATTTAGATCCAAACTTCAATCCTTTTCCATCACATCAACCTGTCATACACACACAACTTTTCAGTCACATCATCTCCAATTTCAACCAAAATCCAAACTTTGGATCCAACTAAACACAACCATTGTTATTATTATTATTATAAACTTATAAAAAGGACATGAAAACAATTAATGAAACTAAGGACAGATTTCATTTCACTGACATGCTTAGAAAGTATAGTTGCCAATATATGTTATCTTTTTAATGCGTGTGTGTGTGTGTGTAAAGTGGAGCTCCACTCCCACACACAAACATGATGGCATGACTATTTAATAAGCTAAGTTGGCTCAAGTCAACATCTGAGGCCAATAATATCTTTCTAGCTAGTTTTTCTTTTAAAAAAAATCCTAGCTAACTGATATGATATAAAATTAGCTTGCCATTTACTCAAAAGAAAAGAAGTATTCTTATTCCCCAATGCAATAACATGGTAGTATTATTTTAAATCCCACATACATAGCACTAAATTCACCTTTGGTTTGTTCTATATGACATAGATATCAAATTAGTCCTACAAAAATGTTATATTCTAAGCATGTCCAGCTAATTAAGCAAATGTGGTGATGATCTTTGCTGCCCACTATGTGGCATTCAGGGGTATGGAATGACTGAGGCAGGGCCAGTGCTGTCAATGTGCCTAGCATTCGCCAAGGAGCCCTTCAAGGTGAAGTCCGGTGCGTGCGGGACGGTGGTGCGCAACGCCGAGCTGAAGATCATCGACCCCGACACCGGGAAGTCGCTTGGCCGGAACCTGCCCGGCGAGATCTGCATCAGGGGGCAACAGATCATGAAAGGTACAGAAGATCCCTGAACATCTTGGCATGTTCAACTGTTGACTTCTCAGTTATGTTTTGCCCCTGCAATAGAGAATGTACTACACTACCACTGGCCCAGATCTCTAGATCAAATCTGACTTGGAAAACATATGATAATCACCAGTGGATAACCAGCTACACAAAAAATTATACTACAAGCCATTGATCTGGATTTCTTTTTGACTATTATTAAACCTGAATTATGACAAGTAGTTGTCTGGAGATGATGTGCAATAAAACAAGGTCAAAAATATGGATGGCCCTCTCTTTCTAATGGAAGTAAAAGAAAGTGTTGCTTTGGAGAAATGATAATACATGTTGTAGTGTTGCTTTTTTATAGGGTCATTGTGCAAGAAGTCCACAGTAGGTAGGATATTGTAATCCTAATTGAGTAGATGCTCCAGCTAGCGAATTATGTTGATGCAACTTTGATGTCAAGATCTCAACTAGCGTGCACTGGCATGTCACATATCCGATGCCGTTGGTTCAAATCATTCCTAGCAATTCCATCGCGCTATTAATGTTCGCCTCCCATCTTTCGCCCTATAACTTTATAAGCCATAGCTGAAATTAAAATTTTGAAAATTAATTTTGGAGTTAATTTTGTTTTTTATGTAGTTTCTTTCCTAGTATTGGTTTTTCAATTGCTAATGGCATAAATATAAAAGTTTCACTCATAAATTAAAACGGGTTATCAGCTCTAGGCCAAACGGTAGCGCTGTTGCCAAACGATATCAATGGAATTATGCGAGTTCTTAAGGCCGTATTCACAATTATAGGTCTTTTTTTTTTAGGACACAATTATAGGTCTAACAGAGTAAGGATGTTGCTGTTCGTCATTGTATTAGAGCGGAAGGTCTGAAAGGCTGAAACAATCAAACAATTGTTGTTTAATTTCCACACTACTAATATATGGCGTCCAAGACCTGGGTAAAGTTTAGAAAATGAGAGATGTCAAATTTGTCACTTTCAGTTGCATCACTGCAAATGTACTATTAAATATATATCAGTAGCTAATAGTAATTTTTCAAGTTGCAGTTTAAATGCAAATATTCCCAGCCCAAGTGACTCGCATTCAAAAAAGAAACAGTGACAGTGACAACGAAAGGTCCTTGGAATAATATCAGAACTGAAATTTTATAGCCTCATCGTCTCGCTTATACTCATAAGGGACATGGCTCATTAGTGATTTAAAACTAGTTTGTGGGTATATGTGTTCTTAGTGACTAAAAACAAATGCTAAAAAATAAATTACGATGAAAAAACCATAAAATTAAATTTTAAATTTTAAATTTTTCGCTTATGCTTATGAGTGATCACCTGTATCTAACCACCTATTCGTTGTACTAATTTCCATGAAAATTAACATGCTAAAAAAACCGTTATTTTTCAGGTTACCTGAACAACCCAGAGGCCACGAAGAACACCATTGATGCAGAAGGGTGGCTGCACACCGGCGACATCGGCTACGTCGACGACGACGACGAGATCTTCATCGTGGATAGGCTCAAGGAGATCATCAAATACAGGGGCTTCCAGGTAGCCCCTGCAGAGCTGGAGGCCCTTCTCATCACCCATCCAAGCATTGCTGATGCTGCTGTTGTTGGGTATGTCTTTAACTAGCTCCTGTTCTGAAAATGTAGTAAGGTTTAATTTGCTTGATAGATAATGTTGCAGAGTTTTGACATGGATTTGAATGAATCAGTTCTTGAAATGGCGTTTTCATGATATGATTGGCCACTTGCAGGAAACAAATTGAGCCTGAAATCGGAGAAATACCAGTCGCCTTCGTGGCGAAAACCGAAGGGAGTGAGCTGAGTGAAGATGATGTCAAACAATTCGTAGCAAAGGAGGTAAATTCCTTTACCATGGTTATTCATAGGACAAAAAGAGAACACTTTACCATGGCTGAGTATTGTTTTTTTTTTTACTTTTCCTTCATTAAATTATTCATTTATATGTGGTTTTAGGTGATCTACTACAAGAAGATCCGGGAGGTCTTCTTCGTTGACAAAATCCCCAAGGCGCCGTCAGGGAAGATCCTGAGAAAGGAACTGAGGAAGCAGCTGCAACATCTTCAACAAGAAGCTTAATTTACAACCGGCCTCAGACATGAAAAGAATTTAGCATGAACAAGCAAGTTCCATGATTCTAATGTTGCAAATTACACATTCTGTTCTGAATAGTTTGTGTCTTCCATTTATATGTGATGGGGGAAAAAAACCCAGGTACAAATGGATTCTGTGCAATACAAAGGGTGGTGTTACCGTGTTAGGTCGGCTAGGTTTGCTCATTTGCAGAGAGACAGGACACTGGGGAAGCCATGTACAAAAATGTTCAGACCTGTTTATTGTTCTTGCTGGTGTCTTTGTAATATTTTGTTTAAACATTTATATCATTCATTATTATTGTTACTACTACTGTTAGAGAAGGGGCGAGAATTCTATCTATATAGAAAGTCTTTTTTTTATCTGGTCCTAATTTATATCACAAAGTTCATACCTTCTCCAGGGAATGACACACTCTGTATTTTATTTCTATTAGTTATTTTTGTTCCATTTCGACTACATCCTGAAGAAATAAAAACTTTATGATGTTAATAGATTTACATAATATAAAAACTCCAATAATACAACAAGGCGCCCATGGCCTAATGGATAAGGCGTCTGACTTCTAATCAGGCGATTGTGGGTTCGAGTCCCACTGGGCGTGTCTTACTTTTTAGGCTGTGTTCGGCTCCATCCATTCCCAGCGCGCACAGTGTACACGGAAAACGGAGCGATTAATTAAGTATTAGCTAAATTTTTTTTCAAAAATGGATTAATTTGATTTTTTTAAGCAACTTTTGTATAGAAACTTTTTGTAAAAAATTGCACCATGTAGTAGTTTGAAAAGCGTGCACGGAGGAAAAGTACTTTAGTTTACCTTTTTAGTAACTCAAATTCTTACCAGTTTTTTTAGTACCTCGAAATCTTTATTACCTTTTTAGTAACTCAAATTCTTACCTCGAATTCTCCTTTGTAGTAACTCAAATTCTTACCTCGAAATCTTTGAATGACAGGTTTGTTTGTTTTTAACATTCTTTTTTTAGTAACGCAAATTCTTTTTACCGAATGACACAGGTTTATTTTTAGTGTTGTAAGTATCTCTGCATCTTAAATCATATTTCATCCATAACATACACAATACGTGTAAAAAAAACTAACGTACCGTGGCCGCAACTGCAAACAAAGCAACACTGAATGATTGGATCAAACACAGCGTCCTTGTTTGATTGTTTCCCCGCTAAAACCATTATTGTCCTTGCAGAAGAGCAGTTCTCATTTTGTTTTTGTTTTGGACAAACCAAATTGCTTTAATGCTAAAACACTAAATTACATCAAAATCATCGGTGCTGGATCCTTCTGCCAAATTAAGCCTTAGGAACCACCAGGCTCAATCAAAACGATGACAGCATATTGGCGTGTATCGAAAACTTCACAAAAATACCCAGTTTTACAGATGGCCACAAACTCGTGTGAACATAACCAGATAGCATGTCTCACACCCCACCTTTTATATGGTTCCAATTATGTCAATAGTAATGACATATTTCAAAACCGTGAAAGTTATAATATCATGGATACAATTAACCCTTTTATTTTACGGGTACTGTCTGACACCTCATTATTCTGCTCATTAAATATTATTGGCAAACTCAATTCAACGCGAAAATTATAATGGCATGGACACAAACCCTTTTATTTTATGGGACTGTCTGATACCTCATTATTCTGCTCACTATTGTTAGTGGCGAACTCAATTCAACTTTTGAAGTCTACGATGCACTTTGGCGAGCTGGCGAGTGCAGCTATCTTGAGTTGTGCATGGACCACACATAAGGTATATCACATTACCCAGGGGCCGAGCGTAGATGTTATCCTCCTCACGAAGTTGTCGGATTAAGGAACTCGCATAAAGTGATGCGTACCTGCAGGAATAACAGAACCAAACATGTTAAGTGGAATACAACAATAGTACCAAGAACTGGAGCGAGAAAGGGTAAAGGTATTACATAACAGCGTAGATTATATTGAAAAGATAATATGTGCAGGGCAAAGGAGAGATTTGTGTACCCACGCTGAGGGTTAACCAGCTAAATTAAGAATCTAGACAGTTATGAGAGGGGCAAAGGTATTTGAATATTTTATTTGCTAAGCAAATCTGCAAATATAGAGGTACTTCCTTCTTATAAAAAAAACTTCCAGTTTTGCATTGGATGCTAGATATTTTCACTGCTTCCAAATACGTCAATTACCTTTTTTTTTGTTTAAATGAACAGTCATATGCCCCATATAAAGGTCGCATCAACTCCTAACTATTTGGCAACTAGATCTTAAAACTATGATATTACTAGTTTTTTGGACAAGCATAGAATATCAACAGGAAACTAAATTATCTAGAAGCTAAGCACAACACAGAATGCTAAACTGCCCATTGGGTGCTCTTAACCGAGCAGTTATATAAAAAAAATATAGAATAATATCAGCGAAGGACACCAGCTATAAATGACTCAAGATTGTCATACCCAGCATCTGATCCCTCAGCCTTTAGCTCGATTGCACACAGAGTTCCTAAGGACACCACTCTTTTCACATTTGGCAGGGACGATAAATGGTTCACTAGTGCACTATCCCATAGCTGCAAATACCAGAGTGAACTTTTAAGTGTCAATATACTTAAATAAATTGACTGTATATAGCATTAGCAAAAAAGAGGTGTTCCTGGAAATTGTATTACTCCCTCTGTCAAACCTGGCAGAGTCTTCAAAAATAATCTTTGAATTTAAATTTCTCATATCTACAATGTTTGTAACAACATCATAACCATGTGAAAGTAAATTTAAATGTCAACTAATGATATTATTTTTATCAACTAAACTTTAATTTATATTAGACTAATCGTTGGTCAAATATTTGAAGAGTTGAATTTCAAAAAGGCATGTGCCTTATTCAGTGGGACAGAGGGAGTACTGTATATTTCTATATGAAAGATAGATTGAAATACAAACATCATAAAGGACATAACACACAGATGCTTTTTAATGAGCAAATTATAAACTGAACATATTATATAGTAATATATTAATATATGATAACACACTTATATTAAGACCAAAATGAGGACATTCTTAGCAAAGTGCCAACAGCCAACCATTTCTTGGTCAAATGGATAAATCAGAACAACTGACTCTGGTGACTCTAATATACAAAAAGTAATTGAGTGAACAAATTTTCATTACCTCCTTCAGCTTCATACGATCAAGATCAATATTTGAATTGGTGGAGGGATCTTTATACCATTGGATAGCTTTTACTGCTGCGGTACAGCCCATGGGATGCGCGGTATAGGAATGGCCATGCAAGAGTGCTGTTAGCTGGGTCAGATAAAAGATAAGTCAATGTTAACCTAAAAGAGTAGACTCCTTGTGATACTCTCTGATATAACATCATAAAAATCGTTAATGAACTGTTTGTGCATGCCAAAAATACATTCATGATAATTAGATGAATACCTTAGAGTCACTTCTGAAGGCTTCAAAAATAGGCTCTGTAGCTAAAGTTGCAGCCAATGGTACAATGCCACCAGTCATCAATTTAGCATAACAAGAGATATCAGGAAAACAGCCAAGCAACTCTGAAGCAGACTGGAAGAGAGGAAAGTAGTCAAGAGTTTGAATACACTAGTTACCCCCACCATCCATTTCTATAAGATGTCGTTTGACTTGGCACAAGTCCATTGAAGTGTAGTTTCACCACAAATTTATCTTGCAGTTACTACTAAGAAAACCAAAACATGGAAGTGCATTGAAATGATAATGTGATGGTGACACTTTTATGTCACTAAACATCTAAACCTGTACAAAGCTGGCCTAATTCGTCAAAGCTTACTAAGTTTGAATCACAGAATACTTGTGAGCCATATAAACTTGGATGGATGGAGTAACTTTTAAGGTATAATCATCCAAAAGAACATATTTTATACATTACCTCCACACCGAGACGCCAAAATCCTGTAAATACCTCATCAAATATGACAGGAATTTTTCGATTTTTACACTCTTTGACAAGTAATCTCTGGAAAAGGGGATCTATCAAATGCATTCCCCCTGCACCTTGTATTACTGCATGAATAAGAGTTAATGATGTTAAAATCCTATATTAGAGTTTACACAAATTAAAAGAGGCAACCAAATTAGACTATTGAAGTACATCCCACCCTAACACACAAATACTTAGTCCGATTTAAAATAGTGAATGTGAATGCAATTGCACAAGCAAAGTTATCTGTGGGCACACATTTGCCAGAAAATATCAGCATCAGATTTTGTATAGTCCAAACATAACAAGTACTAAAGTACCAGAATAGACAATATAGAGAGATTAAATTCAGCATGAGTGACATCATATATTGGAAAAGAGGTACTCAAAACAGGGAATATTTATAGTAACCTGGCTCTATAATTAATGCTGCAATATGCTCTGAATTATTTGACATAGCATACTGTGATAGTTGTTGTGATATGTATGAAACATATACATTAGCAGCAGACGATGTGTCCCTGGTCTTGCAAAAAACTTCAGTTAATGAGGAAAAACCTGCAGTCCCAACAAAAGAATAATCAGATAAGAACCTATATAAAATATAACTTCATGTAAAATTTGTGTTACTGACATGTATCACAAGAACTCAGTTGATCATGCATTATCGATGGGGGAAGAGAAAGGTTGGCGCTTTTGTTTTTAATGTACACTGTAGGAGGATCTAGAAAAAGTCCTCGCCCCGAGTACCTACAGAACAAAACTCAAGTGAATGATCTCAGCTTTATTGATTTCAGAAGTGAAAATTCAATGATAATGCTTCCAGTACAGGAAAAAAATATGCACCATGCTTTAACGACAAGATAAGAAATCTCTACTAGGCCATATAAACAGATAAACAAAGTTGCTATAGCAAATCACTTAAGAAGGCTACAGATACATCAATGCACATGAAATTCATGGTTACCATGGCTGCTGAAGAAAAGATGTGTAAGCTGATGGAGCTTGTGCTTCCATAGCACCCAAAGTATCCCCGTGGTAGGAACCATTTAAAGCAAGGACCTAGAGAGGATTCAATTAAAAATGCATATATCAAAAGAAGAAACATGGAGCAAGAATTCCACATTGCATTATTTCTTCATCATATTAGTATTAACTACAAAATGGTGAGATGAACTGTAAATACAGGTTTTCCTTTAAAAATGCAAGGTCAGCATATGTAGTTCACTGAGAACACGTGAATAGCATGGCGGTAAGCCACCTAGTTATGGGGCTGCTAACCAGGGTTCGATTCCTGGGTCCCACCAAAAAAGATCCTCGCTGAGATAGCTGCTTTCAGAGTCATACACGAAAAGCACCTTGGTAGTCAGTGTTCGGGGCTTTCTCGATCTGAGCTCAAAGCCTTGTGGGGCACCTCTCCCCAAGAGTCAGTTTAATATAGGCAGTTCACTGTGATCAAATGAGCATGGTGGTGGATAAGAAAAGAAAAGAACAGAATAGTGCACAGAAATCAGCTTACTTGTTGAGCTGGAGGTGTAACTACTTCATGATACTTTGAGTTTTACTCCATATTTCAGTCTTTTGGAGTTCTGGTTCTACTAACTTGATTTTCCTGATACAAAATATCTGCCAGTGTGGATGGGTAGATGACCACAACATTCACCACGTTTTATGAGAGCTATATCTAAGCCATGCCAATGACCACAGCACAGATGAAAAATCTGCTAGACGTGGCAAGTGATGAGGTATTGTGAAATCAGGAAATGTAAAGGAGCAGCTCAGATACAACAGTTTCTAATGCCTTGCAAGAACTCGCCAGGAGGATAAGCAGGAAGAAGAGGCCACTAAATCAGAGTTAAAGCATCTAGAGGGGTGAAAACTGCTGGCCCTACAGCTGTCCAGGAACATAGCTATGTCGCTGGAAAACTCCGCTCTCTGGTGGGCCTAGACGTTGGCCCTGATAGCTATAATGGTGAAACCATCAACTACTGCAGTATGCATTAACCATGTCCATCCATGATCTTCCATGGACACTTAAATAGACTTGTATCAGATCACACAGAGGGATGAAAGGACATCAGCATTACAGATTGTCGAGATCAGCAAGGATGGCATAAGAATTGGAGGGGAATGGGGAAGAGGGAGCGCACTGAGCCAGGGAGGAAGAAAATAGAATGCATGTAGGGGTCCAACAGGTATAGGTAAATAAGGAAAATTGATGCCTGTACTATTCTACAGTGGCGATCTGCCACGTGGAAATTTGGGCACTGTTACAAAAAGGGTTCATTCCTAAACAATTTACTCGATTTTAAATGCATTTCCTGAATCAATCAAAAGGTAAATTTAGCATGCATTACACACTTAAGACTGATGCTGCGCTCCAGTCAATGCACACATTCATCATGTCAAATAAAAATAAAAATAAAAACAATTCCACACCATTGATCATTGCATAGAAAATATAATGAATTAAACATCAAATCCACACAAACATGTGCAAAAAATCTACTTTGTTCATTTGTCACTAAGAAAATATGCAAAATAACTAGTGGTTTAGAAAATGTATTGCCAAATTCGAGTAGCTGGATGATTATTGAAGTTACTATGCAGATATTGCCCAGCATTCAACTAAAAGCATAAGAAACAACAGTGCATCAAGCCATCAATGCATATAGAGATCATGTCGATTCAACATCTATGGACTATAGGGAAAAAAAAAATTTCTTGCAGTGAACTTTAATATAGTTGAAAAAACAAAGTAGATTGACAAGGATATTCGATATAACCAGAACAGACCTTAAAATGAACACTTCCTTCACTTCTGATATCTTTTTCGCTGTCCACTATAATCCCATGGTCACATGCATATTTACGAAATGCCATCTTCAAAGCAATTTCAATTGCAGTAGATCCATTGTCTGAAAAATAAACTCGAGAAGCCCAATCTAACATACAAGAGAAGGTGTCTAATGAATGAAGTGTTTCTCAACAACGTGACTTGTATAGTAACATAAAAGTAACATTAAACAACAGCTGTACTTAGAATTTGTCAGTGATAATAATTATGCAAAATCATAGTGAAGTTACAGCACATACCTTTACCAACACCACCAAGCAAAAGTTCTGCACAACGAAGAGCAGGTTCATGAACATTCTCTGGAAACATCACATGACCATACCTTGCAGCAGCATAACCCATATCTCTTGCAAGTTCAATCTAATGAGCAAAGAGAAATTTAGGCTACAAAAATTGCCTGTCAAAAGTTCAACATACAGAGCTTTAGAAATAAAACACTACTAACAATAGTTCCCTTAGCAAACGAGAAGACAAGAAATTTCACGGATGATGGAAGATGTGTAGACAATAACCTGTAAGTTAGAATCAGGTCCTTGTGTCCACCAACTAGCACATGCATCAAACTGGGGAACAATCGTTTTGTCTTTAACCTGCACCAAAAGAATGAGCAACAATGTAACTAAAATTCTATTAGATTTTCATCATAATTTTCCTTTTTACAAAATAGTCCTAGATGCTTGGCAAACCTTGTATGCTGAGAAATTCTCACCAAAACGCGAATCAATAACTGTAACAGAATCTACAGGTACAAGATCATGCTGAGTGAAAGGCCACCACAACAAATACTTTGATTTTCTCTGCATACTGTTTAGCCTTTGAACTCTTCGTGAATGAAAAGATTGCAGACTATCTTTAAGTGAACTAAAAGCTGAGGATGACTCAGAAAACCAATCAGTTAGGTCGTCTTTGGGATCCTCAGGAATTGGTGGCAGGACATGCACAGGTACCCTAAATAACAGAAATAGCACAAATCAGTCATACATTGAAATACAGAAACAATACAAGCAAGTTGCAGTAGGTTTATCATATATCCAAATGAAAGACTGAAATAATTATTATTAACAGGATAATATAATTAAAATAAAAGAGATGCTTCTATGCTCCTGCACACTTTCAGAGTGATTTGACAAAGAACAGAAAGGCATTAATCACCTCTTTCTCAAGTATGAGAGCAGGAATCTGTCATTCGACAAGCCACGATCTTCCAAAATAACTGAGCCCACATCATATCCTCTGAGCAACAGAGTTTCGTAGGCAGATAAAGTAGATGAAATACCACCTAGACGACCATCTCCAACAAGAACTGCAGGTAACCTAGAGGACCTGTTAAGAGTTGTATGTGATCAATTACACCAGAAAGTAAAGCAAACCAGCATGTAGAGATACCAAAGTTTAACTTTGACATATTACAAGGTTCTCCATAAATCATTCTAAGAAATTCAAGGTATCTACGGTACTTTAATGCATGATAAGAAATATTAGGTGGCATTGCCAGTTCACCACAGGTGATAACTTCTGAACGAATAAAACATATATTAAAAGAAGTGACAAATGGATATGCCACTGTGTACAGTAGTGTAAATTGAACATAGAAATTGATGTAGGACATGAATATTTACTCAGCTCATGAATATCAACTACTCAAATGAAAAATCCTAACATGTACAGAACATAAAACCTCACAAAATATTAAAACAACAAGATTGCTCGCCACAATTTAGCATAGCTAATATGTTCATTCACAACGTGCACATTACTCTCTTACATCTGTAAGAGGCAGATGAAATTTGCTAGCGTTGAGCTCTCCTAAGTAGAGGAACTATACAGCGCAAGCATCACATCAATTAGCTCGACCAAGCAAATGTCATTGAATGAATAATATGCACGAAACAAAACATGCTAAAGTAATCAAATGTACCCAATTTAATTTCTACTTGAACGAACGCATACACATTCAAGTACTTGAATTCACTACGACTAGCCAAAAATGAAGAATGACATAAATCAGAAGCTGAACCGCGCGCACCGATAGAGATCACATTGGAGCGTGCCAGAAGGGCCAGGGCTGGCGACGCCGCCGGCCGTCTCGAGCACCTTCCACACCTCCCCACCCCCGTCCTCCTCCGCCAGCCACCGGTCCACGAGCCACCTGACCTCCTCGTCCTCCACCGGCATCCCCTCCCTCTCCGCCGCCAGGTGCGGCGACACGGGCTCCCGCCACGCGTACACCGTCCTGCACACGAGCGCCTTCTCCTCCACCCCCTCCTCACCGCCGTAGTTCACCACCGTGTCCTGGCGCTCGGGGAGGGGATCCACGGCGGGGGAAGGGAAGAGGGTGTGGTTGGACGCGACGAGGCGGGTGGAGGCGCCGCCGCCGGCGAGGCGGAGGCGGCGGAGGAGCGCGGGGGCCCGGTCGAAGACGAAGCGCGCGTCGGAGTCATCGGGGAAGCCGGTCTGGAGCGGCTTGAGGTAGGCGACGGTGGAAGGGGAAGGGGAGGGGGAGGCGAGAAGGGAGGCGACGAGGCCCGCGGAGACGAGCGTCTTGCCGACGCCCGTGTTGGCGCCGAAGACGGCGAAGGCCGGCGAGGTGAGGGGCACGGCGGCGGCGGCGGCGGAGGAGGAGGAGGAGGTGGAGTGGCGGCGAGCGTGGCGGAGGAGGCGGAGCATGGCGGCGGGGGTTGGGTTTTTGGACGGGGTTAATTGCCGGGGTAATCGGTTTTTGGACGGGGTTTTGGCACAGTCCGACTGGTGTTGGGTCCGTGGCTCCGTGCCAGCACGACCTGATCTTTGAGTCGTGCCTGGGCCGCTGCCTCGACAGTCGACACGATGTGCTGGTCTGGCCGGTCCGGTCGGAGTTAAATAGATGAGAGAACTAAAATAGACTTATTCTAGAAGATATTAGATAAGCAAAATAGATTTTTTTCAAGAAGGAGCACAGTGGGTTTTCGTGCCTTCCGGCTGACCCGAGTCTTACTAGACCATGCCTAGACCAATGGTGCAGCAAGTGGACTGGCACGGCCTGGCACGTGTAGGTTGTGTCGTGTCGGCCCATCTGATCTCGCCCTGGGCCTGGCCATGTCCGGGCCGGACATTTGGCTATCCATACTGTTATCTATACATTTATCGATAAATATATATTAATATAATAATAAAGTAATTTACATGTATAACTACAGTGTGGTAACTAATATGTAACTTTTATCTAATTTTAAAACCATTAGATTTGCTTTAATGTTTGTGCAAGTGGAGAAGAAAAAATCACAACATGCGCAAGTGAGGGGATTTAGTCTAGTGACCTCCGCTTTGTAAAAATAGCATGTTATCGCAATATTTTCAAAAGTTACATGCAAGTTGTAGTTACATACATGTAAGTTATAATGCAATTATACTACAATTACATTATATTTACATCTGACAATTTTTTTAAAGAAATTTATCGACAAATTATAGCAAAACTGATTCTAGTTTACTCCGGACAACGTGGGTAATAAATCTTGAACATTGTATCATATTTATTAAAGGAAAAAGTACAAATTACCCCCTGAACTATCGCGGTCATCCGAATTACCCCATAAACCAGAAAACCAATCATCATTCACCCTAAACTTTTAATACCGGATGATTTACCCCCCCCCCTCCACACTGTTTCGAGCGGTTTTGACTTGAGTTTGCATATGTGGCGCCAACGTGGCAATCTAGTTAGTAAATAAAAATAAAAATAGCTTCCTTGGGCCCACCTGTCACCCTCTCTCTCCCGTGTACGCACTCAGGCAGGCGGCTCCGCAAACGGAGGCAGACCAATCAGTCGACGGTAGAGGCGGAGCTCGCCTGGGCGGCGGGTGGCTGAGGCAAAGCTCGCCCGGGTGGCCGGTGGCTGAGGCGGACGCAGAACTAGCGGCTAAGGCTGAGGCAGACCTGGCGGCCGACGATGGAGGCGGAGGCCGACCAGGCGACGGTGGTTGCCTCCTGGGGACCAGACCACGGGGGCCGCGTCGGCGCCGTAGCGCACGTGGAGAGGGAGCGGGCAAGGCCGCCCGAGATGGCGCCGGTGAGGCGGCAGAGCATCTTGCGCGGGGACGTGGAGGTTGCGGCAAAGCATCTCTCTCACTCTTCTTCTCTCGCGCGCGCGGTCGAACGGTGGTAGGTGTTCAGCGCGCACGGCGAGCGGTGGGCGGCGCCCCGGGACATAGAGGCGGTGGTGGCGGCGCGAGACGACGAGGCGGTAACGGCGAACTCCGGGAGGATTTGGTCACCAGGAACGGAGGATGGACGGCGACGGAGAAGAGGGCCGACAGCCGGGGAGGGGATTGGGGAGGCAGAAAGGAACTCCGGGGGTGGCAGCGAGTGGGAGGAGCCAACGGCGGCGCTTGGCGTGCGCGGCGGCGATGGTGGCAGGACGATGGCGCCGACTGGTTTCCCCTCCCGCCCGAACCTACCGCCGGCATCACGGGGGCTGCGTCACCCCCCGGAGGTGAGGAAGGCGGCCGTCTCGGCGTGGGACCACTGCGGGAGGCACTCCCACTTGACTGACAGCGGGTCGGCGGGGAGCAGCGGTGGCGGAGGTGGAGGAGGGAGTGGTCGGGGGCAAAGTGGTGGGGCGGGCAGGCGAGGAGGGGGTGGAAGGGGTTGGACAGCTCACTCTCGGTGTTCGCCGCTCTCGTTTCCGCGTCCCTCACCGCCGTCCACCGTCCGCCGCCCGCCCCTCTGCGCGTGCCGTGCGCACCTGCGCCCACATGCGTGCCCCCGTGCGTAGTGCCGCCGCGCCGTGCGTGCCCCCGTGCGCTGTGCCGCCGTGCGCACCGCCGCGCCGTGCCGACCACCCCCGCCCACCGCGCTGACCGTCCCTGCCCACCGCCCATCCCTGCACTGTTGTGCATGCCATGCGCGCGTGAGAGAGAGGAAGAGTCAGGCGAGAGAGAGAAGAGAGAGAGGAAGAGGGGAAAGAGAGGTGAGAGAGTATGATAGATGGGTCCCACTTTTTTAATAAATAAAATGTTGATTTGATTGCCACGCGTACGCCATGTAGGACAAAACCGCTCTGGATTAGGTCAAGGGGGTATTTTGTCCGGTATTGAAAGTTCAGGGTGAACGATGACTGGTTTTTGGGTTTAGGGGTAATTCGGATGACCGTGATAGTTCTGGGGGTAATTCGTACTTTTTCCTTTATTAAAAGGGATATAGCATGTGGTTTTGGTATAAACTGTGCGCAAAATATAAAGAGAAATAACTTTTGATTTTAGATAGAAGTAACTTTGTGTTTTCTGATAATGAAATATCCGTTTGATGTAGAAGTAACTTTGGTTTAGATATAAATAACCTAGTGCTAGTTATATCTCACCACAAAGCAGATGTGGAGATTCTTTTTAGCAACAATTATTTTTTTAAAAAAAAGTTGATACTATGCAAAAACAAAAGAGATTGATGATAAGTATAAAGTGTACATGTTGCACTGATATTGTATTGTTTTGTAGGAATTTTGTGTCCCGTTTGGCTTGCGACAAAGAGAGACGAGGCAAGGGGCCAAGGGCTTATGGTTTGGGAAGTGCGTAAAGTTTGGTTCAGTTTAGTTAATTTGATGATAGTAATTACGGAAAGAAGGGGTAGTGCGTTTAGACAATCGCACGACTGTGCGTAATACAATCGTGTCCTTTTTGTTAGGCATAGCGTCTTGCTATCGAGCAACAAAGCGAGGAAGATCCTGATATGATAAGTGTAAGTGAAATAGTAGACAACTAGTAGATAAACAATTAAATTAGAGTATATCGTACCAGCATTCCTTAAACTTATAAGCATGTTTCATTTAGATCCACGAACTTACAAATTGTGCATTGAGATCCCTTAACTTGGTTTATTATATTATTCCGATCCAAAGTCTCGTTTGGTCCTGGTCTTATCTAATATGACATGCCACGTAGATTTGGCATGTTAATGCTCCACGCTCTGCCTTATCCATTTATTGTAATTTTGGATTGTTTCTTTGGCGCAGTTTAAAAGCCCATTCTTGCATGGATAGATTTCTCCTTCACTTTTAGTCTGATTTTCCTCCCAACTTCGGTGGTTTATGACATGCATCGAATATTCACCAACACTCGTGGAATATGTTAGAAATAATCCCTATCACTATGTTGGATGTTTTATTATCTGTGCTTTATACAAGTGTTGGTGGTATAAATTGGGCACTTAACAGCCGCTAACAGGCGACACGACGGCGACGGCGCAACAGTGGCGGCGGCGGCAGCACAAGGGCGACGGCGCGGCGGCACAGGAGCGGCGGCGCGGCACAGGATAGGGGCGGCAACGCAGCGGCGTAGCTAGGGCAGCGGCGGCGAGGCACAGGAGCGGCGGCACTACAAGGGTTTTGACAGGTAACACTATTAGGGTTACAACAACGACGCTAAAAGAATTAACACCTAAACTAGGAGATCACGAGAAGGTTCCTCACCAAACCGAGACGATCGGCGAGGATGAGACGGTGACGACGATCCAGCGGCAACCCACGGGGACGACGGCGACGGTAGATGAGAAACAAACGGAATAGATTACATAGATGAATTGATGGTTGCAGCGGCAAACACATCAATGGAGAAGGAGAACGGAGTACCGGCGATGACGGCGGCGGCGGGAGGCGGAGGCACCGGCGGGCGGCGGCGGGGCTAGGGGCGACCGGCGGCTAGGGCTAGGGTTTTGCAATATGAGGGAAATAATAAAAATTAAGGGGCATGAAGACTTATATAGGGGGAAAATAGATGGATTAGGTGGGTCCTACAAGGACTAGGATTGGGGGGAGGAGGGGGAAGAATCCGACTCGGCTGGAGAGGGGAGAGGGGGCGCGCGCGGCCGAGATAGGGAGGGAGAGGAAAAATCCGATTAGGAAAAAGGTTACCGGAAAAAGGAAAAGAAAATAAAAGGACACGGTGCCGTTTTGGGAAAGAATGAAAACGGAACCGGAAACTGACTCGGACTCGGCTCGTTATGCAAAACGAAACCGCAGACGAAGAGAGGAGTGAATCGGGCACGATTCACGACCAAAGGTGGGGAGAAAAATTATTATTAATTCAAATCCTGGGAATTCAAATTAATAACATTAATTCCGATGCTCTGAATATTCCACTTTAAGTCCCGTTAATGATTTTAGAGCAAAGAGAATTCGAAAAAAAAATTCTCCCTGACATTTTCGATTATTAATACATTGTTAATTAGGGTTTTCTCCTGGTTAATCAAAGTAATTTTTATAGACAATTTATTGGTGAATTAGAAACTACGAAAAAGGGGAAACTCTCCGGGTGTGACAAGCACCCACAAGACGGCGGCGCCGAGCACGAGTGCGTGCTGGCTGGGAACAACGGGTTCTTGCCATCGATGGTGTTCGCGGAGAGCACTGCCCACTCACCAGGGTTGCACGGGTACACAGCGCAAGCGCACCTTCCCTCGACCTTACACATGTTGGAGCTACAAGGGATCGTGCGGTCCATGGACGGGCACGTCGACCAGAGCAGCGGATCGGCAAGGTCGACGACGAGCAGCGTGTGTGCACTACTACAGAGCCATAGGTGCCGGTTCACAACTGGGTATAGGTACCGGTTTTCTAACCGACACCTATTGGTCGGCACCCATACTAGCTGAATTTTTCACATTTTGGTCCTTTTAAAAAACTTATTTCGCAAATAGACCCCTAAAAAAACTTATCCCAGAAATAGTCTTTTTTGGGGCACCAGAGTGGCTGGCGCCGTCGTCCAACGGGACGGCACCAGCCTCTCCGGCGCCGTCCCCCCGCCGACGTGGCGGGGCGATGCTGAGGTGGC